CGATTGCTAGTTTAATTGATGAAGAATCTATCTCTACTTCAAGGCCATTAACATCTCATAATACAAGAAGTAGATTTTAAGATTTACAAAATTCTATTTTGGATACATTTCATCAATTTGGAATTTAAGAAGAAACAGGAGAACCATCAATATCAACTTCCTCTAGGCAGAACATTGAACATGAATCTGATGATGAACATCAAGAGGATTTTGATTCTACTTTCTTACTTCAAAGACGTGTAAGAAAGTACACAAATCGTCACAAATCTAATATAAATTCTTCTGATGATTCTGAAATCGAAGCTAATTAACCTTCAGATTCTTCTGAATTTACTACTGAAGAAGATGAAGTTACAAGTGAATCCGATGATAGTGAATCTGATGATAATGGTGATTTTGAAACATTTGAGAATTATGCATCACTGGATTATGAGCCATTTCGAGATCTACCAAGTACAGAATCAATTGATGATGACTGATTTTTATGGATATTAATTTGAATTATGTTATTTCAGACAAAATTCAACATTACAGAGTCTGCAACTGAGGCTTTGATAAAATTTATGAAATTGGTTTTGACAGAAATCAGAGGTGACGATTTCAAAGACTTTCCAAATTCAATATTGTTAACAAAAAAGGCGCTTGGAATAAAAGACAGATTTCAACATTTCGTTTCTTACTTTAAATGTCATAAACTGTACCAAAAACAGGAAATGGTAAATTTTAGACAAGATAATATGTTAACTATAATGAAATGTTGACATGTAGAATTTTCCAATTTGTCAATTCACAAATCGCATTTTTGCAATATTCCATTATCTCAAAAAATTGCTGTATTGACAAATCGAACAGTAATTCAACCTAATTTAATCTTTCTTTTTTGTGGAATACGACAACAATTCACTTCTATGTATTGTTAACCTCATTTTGAAATTAATTTGAGACATTGGGTAAATCGTCAGCATTTTGACAACATTATAACTGACATATATGATGGTTAAGTATAGCAGACGTTAAAAGAATCTTCTGAAAACGATTCACCAAAATTTTTTCGAGATGAAGTGGCCAATTCTCACCTTGGATTAATGCTGAATCTTGACTGGTTCCGGCCATATGATAGTACTGTTTATAGTATTGGAGTAATATATGCTGCTATATGCAATTTACCGCATGATATATAATTCAAACGTGAAAATTTACTGATTCTCAGTCTTTTATCTGGGCTAAGCGAAGTCAGTTTACATAAAATTAATCACTATCTAGCACCAATCGTTGATGAATTGGAATCTCTTTGAGATGGAATAACAATAAATCAAACAAATGAATGTAAAAATGGTAAAAGGATTCGTGCAACATTAATCCTAGTTTTATGTGATATTCCTGCGGCAAGAAAAATTTGTGGTCATGTTTCGGCATTAGTGGCATGTCATAGATGTAAAAAGAAGGCGAATTATGAAAATCAGCAGCATAATTTTGCCGGAATGGATAATTTCAATGATTGGTTCTTTATGCGAGATCTAATTAAACATCGCCAGAATGCTTTAGAATGGAGATATTGCAATTCGGACACTTCACAAAAGTGATTTGTAAAACAAAATAGTATAAGATGGTCCGAATTAATACGTTTACCATATTTTGATCCTAATAAAATTTATTATAATAGATCCAATGCATTGCTTATTTTTAGGCATTGCATAATGGATAGTAAAACGGATCTGGATCAATGAGGGGATTTTAACATCAAATTCCTTGAACAAGATTCAGAAAAAAATGAATGAGTTTTAGATTCCATCTGATTTAGTCGAATTCCAGGTAAAATTCATGAAGGAGAGGGATTTTCTAATTTTACAGCCAATCAGTAGCGAATATTCTTTACTGTATACACTACTGTTTCACTTTGGGAACATCTTCCGATTGTAGATAGAAAAATTTTTACAAATTTCGTGAGAATTTGTATAATTTTGGTAAACCAGAATCAGATTTATTGCATGAAGCTCATAGAAGATTAATTAGAATAATAAAGTTGATAGAAGAAAATCATAGTCGTAACAAAATCACGCTGAATCTTCACCTTTCTTTTCATTTGAACGAATGCTCAATAGATTATAGGCTGTTTTATGCATTCTGGTGTTTTTCTTTTGAACGCATAAATGGAATATTAGGTAACTCATTATTATTATCTAGTAAATCATTATACACTAAACTACATTAAATTACCAGATTTTTTTATATATATTAAAATTATATATAAATTACAATTTTAGTTATC